TGGGGGGGGGTGTGGGATGGGGAGTGTGTAGGATGGGGGGGTCCCCATGGGGCCAGCTCTGCACCGGGGGGTGTCTCCATGCCCTGAGTGCTGTCACCTTCCCTGTAGCCGTGGAGACGCAGAGCACCAGCTCGGAGGAGATCGTGCCCAGCCCGCCCTCGCCCCCTCCCCTGCCCCGCATCTACAAGCCCTGCTTCGTCTGCCAGGACAAGTCCTCCGGGTACCACTATGGGGTGAGCGCCTGCGAAGGCTGCAAGGTGAGAGCTGCCACCATCCCCTTGTGTCACCAGGGTCCCCAAACCAGGGCCAACATCCCCATGCATTCCCCGGGGCCCCTGGGCTAAACACTGATTGGGGTGTTTGGGGTCGCCCCCAGGGCTTCTTTCGCCGCAGCATCCAGAAGAACATGGTGTACACGTGCCACCGGGACAAGAACTGCATCATCAACAAGGTGACGCGCAACCGGTGCCAGTACTGCCGCCTCCAGAAGTGCTTCGAAGTCGGCATGTCCAAGGAGTGTGCGTGAGGACAGGGATGGGATGGGAACATCCAGCCTGGGTCCATGGGCCATCCCAGCAGCTCCCACCATATGCCCAGGGAGGCCCTGGAGGGGGAGATGGGGGAACCCCTGGGTTTATGTCACATCCCCACTGTTGCCCAGGCAACGTGTGATTGATGATGTCAGAGATAAATGATGCTGATGGGGCCTCCTGGTGTCTCGGTGCCAGTTGTCATGGTGCCCGGCTGTACCCCGTGGGGCCGCTCCACTGGGGTGGGTGATGGGGGACGATGGATGCTATGGGGGGGCCTCAGCATCCCAGATGCTGCGCCTCAGGGGGGTCCAGGCCCGCAGAGGCTGATCCCTGTGGGATGTGGGGCTGCTCCCAACTGCTTCCTCCACACACCCCCATGATGAGCACGGTGCCTCAGATACTGTTTTCTCTTCCCTCTGCTGTATCAGCTTTGCAGAGCAGAGCTGAGCACTGTCCCCATGGCAAGGGATGGGGTGTGTGCCCCCTACAAGGCACAGTGTCACCCCTAATTGCCTCCTAATGCTTTGGAGGGCTTATTTAAGGAAAGCTGTGCAGGGCTGGCCATTTGTCATTGCAGCTGATCACAGCACTGGTGGTGGGGTCCTCATCCAGAGTGTGGTGGGACTGAGCCTCACCCTGGGCAAGGACTGATGGCCTTGGGGCCAGTGGCACTGACCCTGCTGTCCCTGCAGCTGTCCGCAATGACCGGAACAAGAAGAAGAAAGATGTGCCCAAGCCGGAGTGCTCGGAGAGCTACACCATCACACCTGAGGTGGAGGAGCTCGTCGAGAAGGTGCGCAAAGCCCACCAGGACACCTTCCCTGCCCTCTGCCAGCTTGGCAAATACCTGATGGCCTTGGGGCCAGTGGCACTGACCCTGCTGTCCCTGCAGCTGTCCGCAATGACCGGAACAAGAAGAAGAAAGATGTGCCCAAGCCGGAGTGCTCGGAGAGCTACACCATCACACCTGAGGTGGAGGAGCTCGTCGAGAAGGTGCGCAAAGCCCACCAGGACACCTTCCCTGCCCTCTGCCAGCTTGGCAAATACACTACGGTGAGTTGTCGGAGGACCCGGGGGGGTTTCAGCCTCTGCTGTGCCCTCACCCCCTGCCTTGCGCCGCAGAACAACAGCTCGGAGCAGCGGGTGTCCCTGGACATTGACCTGTGGGACAAGTTCAGTGAGTTGTCCACCAAGTGCATCATCAAGACGGTGGAGTTTGCCAAGCAGCTCCCTGGCTTCACCACGCTCACCATCGCTGACCAGATCACTCTCCTCAAAGCCGCCTGCCTTGATATCCTGGTGAGAGCTGGGGCCGGGATGGGGACAGGGACGGGGACAGGGACACCAGGATGAGCTCCCAGCCCTTGCTCACCCCCAGATCCTGCGGATCTGCACGCGCTACACACCGGA